ACCCTAGGACCATCAAGGGAGAAAAGCACAAGCAGAATGCAGGACCTTATCCAGAGAAGCAGTGACACCAGAGATGGAGTCATGGAGAGGGGGAGCCACTGAGGACTCTAGATTCATGGGAAGAGAGGGACTAAGAGCTGGTGGCCAGAAGACTGACTTTCAGAATGTACCCTTTAGAGGTGTAAATTATGATATATGCCTAAATGTTGGTTTTTTGTTTTGTTTTAAAAAAAAGCTAAAGTGAATACTGTTAACTGATGTACATGGAGGGAATTATAATCATTGTAATGAAACAAGGTATATGATTTGTTGAATATAAAACTGATAATCTGCCCTGTAAACTTTCACTGAATTCACAATAAAAACCTTTAAAAAAATTTTAAATTGAGTCTCTTAAGATAAATAAGTTAGGATATTTGACATTCATATACCTTCAGCTATACTTCACCATGCTGTAAGACCAGTCCAAAAAGTAATTCCTACCTTTGAAGCAGACACTTTTAAAATGGGCTTTAAAAATAAATAAAATAATAATAATAATAATATATATGTGTATGTGTGTGTGTGTGTCCTTATATTTGTACAGTGTCTTAATATAAAACATTTATATACCTCTGTACACTATTCAGGGGTTATTTGCTTAGCTTATAGAAATGGCAGGGTCAAATAAACCCAGAGATGAATTGCTGACCTAGAGTAAGTCAAGGAGAGGAATTAAAGTTCTTAAAATATCATCTACTGAGTCCCACCCAAAACCTTGAAAAGACATGCAGAGCAACCCCAAACTGCTTGAACAGAAGATTCTTATTGAAAGACTTACAGAAGAAAAGTGGATTGTTTTAATATCAAGCAAGGTGTTTGCTTTAGAGGCATCAAGCAAAGAAAAGTCACTGATGAGGGAAAAAACCCTTCTAGGACTGAAACTCAAAGGGAACCCTTGAGCAGTATAATATACTCGCTGGTGACCATCTGGGTCTACTTGCGAGTACAAGTGGGGGAAATGCAGCAATGAAGACATGAATTGAGTTTGTCCAAGTTCCATTGGCACCCATTGACCTTGAGATGAGAGAGAGAAGAGGAACGACTGTCTGGTCTGAAGTTTAGGAAGATATGTGAACTTCTGAGCCCATGGGCACTGACATAACCCCCTGAGGGCTAAGGCTGAGAGTGGAACTCCCAGCTGGTCTGAAGTGCAGGGAGGTGTGCATGAACTCGAGTAATTACAGCTAGTACCCTTTTGACCTACCATGGATGACTAGTTGACCAGAACTCAAACCAAGGAATATAAAAATGTTTGATAATGTGAACAAATGCAAATTGCTATGATTTGATGAACTCTATAGCCTTTTGCCTATGAATACAGTGACTCAAAATTCCAATCTGAATGGAAGGATTCTTCATATCAAGGAACAACCTTGTTTCCTCAGTGTACTGTACTGATAGGGACAAGAAATTTAGACATTAGCTACTGAAAATGACAGTCAATAAAGGTATGAAGTGGCTGACTTACAAGTTTTCAGGAGTGTGCTTAGTTGCACAACAAAGTTGCTAAGGTAGAATCCCCACTGAATAGTTTCCCTCTTTCCCA